TGGCCCAGGGCAACACAGCTAATAAGTAGCAGAGTCTGGATTTGAATCTAGGTCTTTCTGATTTTTAAAGTCCTCTTTACCATTATACTATACTGCCTAGATCAGTGGTGTGCACACGTGGTAGGTGGTCAGCACATATTTCTTGAATTGATTGAATTTTTCCATCTAATTAACTGACTTTTTTAACATTTGAAAGTTCAGTAAAGGCCACACTAACTAGAAACACATCTTTATCAGTATTGTTAACACTAGATTATTTTTGCAAAGAAATGTCCAAACATGCATTTAATACCAGCTGCTTGGGGGTAGTTATGTATATTAATGTTTTCATTATACCATTTTATTAAATAGGAAAAATAGAGAATATAGATAAGCCGAAAGGAAAAAAATTTTCATCACTCAGATAACTTCTGTTTATATTTTGGTGTTATATCCTTGCTGACTTTTAAAATATTCATAAATATTTACCTTTAAAATCCATTTCAACACACTATCTTTATATATTTGAAGAGTCTATAATTTTTTTCTTATGTAGGTTTTCTGCAGCTTTTTGCTTTCTGCCTTGGGTACTGTCAGAAAGCATGTGACTGAATTTTGAATGAGCTAATTTGTTTTTTTTTTGTTTTTTTTTTCCTTTTTCTTTTTCCTTTCTTTCTTTTTTTTTTTGAGGAAGACTGGCCCTAAGCTAACATCCGTGCCCATCTTCCTCTGCTTTATATGTGGGACGCCTACCACAGCATGGCTTGCCAAGCAGTGACATGTCCGCACCCGGAATCTGAACCCACGAACGCTGGGCTGCCAAAGCGCAACGTGCGCACTTAACCGCTGTGCCACCAGGCTGTCCCCTAAATGAGCTAATTTTAATTTGCCTTCATTTCTGAAGACTTAAGGTTTTAAAAAGAGATACTGGTTAAAATATATTTATTTCGACATAATAACTGTTAGGCTTGCTCTTGAACTAAAATGTCTGTTTTTTAAATTCCTTTAGTAATTATTTTTAAGTAAAATTTTTATTGAAATACAACACGTAAGTAAAAGTACACAAATAATGAGTGCATAGCTTAATGGTGTCTTTTCACAAAGTGAACACCCATTACTAGCATCTCAGAAGACCCCTGTATCCCCACTGCATTCACTCCTTTTCCCTACCTCAGGTCTAACTGCTCTGCTGACGAGATTCATTGGCATTTATTTTTAACTTCTAAATGAGTGGTACTTGAGCAAGTCTTGGGCCATAGGTGCAGTTTTGACAACAAGTGATTTGAATTTTCCAAAATAAAGAGTTTAATACAACATACACCCCCCCCCCCCCACACACACACGCACTCTAATGAATCCCCATGTACTCATCATCCAGCTTCAACAATTAACAATTCATGGACAGTCTTCTTTCATCCAACCTTCCCATTATTTTTATCTCTCTTTTTTTGTTTTTGAGGAAGATTAGCCCTGAGCTAACTACTGCTAATCCTCCTCTTTTTTGCTGAGGAAGACTGACCCTGAGCTAACATCCATGCCCATCTTCCTCTACTTTCTACGTAGGATGCCTACCACAGCATGGCTTTTGCCAAGTAGTGCCGTGTCTGCACCTGGGATCCGAACCGGTGAACCCCGAGCCACCGAGAAGCGGAATGTGTGACCACCGGGCTGGCCCCCCCCATTATTTTTAAGTGAACCCTAGGTATCACATTACCATTTTAGTAGCTATTTTAAAATATATATTTCTAAAAGATGAAAAGATTACCCTTTTTTTAACCATAAAAATTAAAGAATATAATAAACACACCTTTAAAAAAACTAATTCCTTACTATCAGATCTTCCCTCAGGTTTCAAAAGTCCCTGAATATCTCATAATTTTTGATAGTTTGAAGTAGGGTCCACATACTACATTGGTTGGTATGTCTCATATGTACATCTCTTTTAATCTAAAGATTCTCTATGCCTTTTTTCTTGCAATATTTGTTGATAATTTTTTTTTAAAGCTGGTTTGTTGGCTTTTTTGTTTTCAGGGTATTCTTTCATGGATATTTTCATTCATCTTTTATGAAAGTGATTATCATGAACTTTTAAAATTTGGCATGTAATTCACAGACAAATGTACAGATTTTAAATGTTTGGTTGATGAATTTTGACAGTTGTATACTTCAGTGTATCTACCCCCTGGTGTATTTTGTTTTCAGTTGTTTCTTTTATTTTTTATTTATTTATTTATTTATTTATTTTTAAAGATTTTATTTTTTCCATTTTTCTCCCCAAAGCCCCCCGGTACATAGTTGTATATTCTTTGTTGTGGGTCCTTCTAGTTGTGGCATGTGGGACGCTGCCTCAGCGTGGTCTGATGAGCAGTGCCATGTCCGCGCCCAGGATTCGAACCAACGAAACACTGGGCCACCTGCAGCGGAGCGCGCGAACTTAACCACTCGGCCACGGGGCCAGCCCCTCAGTTGTTTCTTTTAAATGGAAAAAGAGGAGAAATCCCTTCCATTCTTTAGACTCATCACTGTTAGGAATATAAAGCTCTCTGCTTTTCGGCAGCTGGATGGGTAAATTAAGAAAATCTGGGGTTTGGAAAACACTGCTTGCTAGTAGAGGGATATGTGTAACATGTTAGAGCTAAAGTGAGAAGTGTAAATGCACTGCATTGGAATTTGTATCTTTGCAAAAAAGCTATGGCTATTTGGTTATCCCTGGAAGTTGCATGCACTTTTCCCTGTTACCTCCACCTATGCCTCAATTTCAAGCAGCCGACAGACTTGATCTCCTCTAAATTCTGTAAAGTCAGGAGGATCTTGTGGTTATTGACTCCAGGAAAGAGTTAACTGCAGTTGAGGCATATAAATGTCTAGTATGTTTTTTGACAGGTGTTAGCCAACTTGGTTCTTTCATCTTTGCTTTCTCCAGGATTTGAATTTGTTGTTGTATTTAACTTTGGGGACTTTATTAATTGACTTGTGTTTTCTTAGAGAAGTGCGTTGATCTTAGTTGGATACCAATTGGAAGGTAGGAGAGAAGTTACTAAGAGTTACTGAGTAGCTACTCTGTGTGAGGAATCATTTTAAATACAGCCCTCTTAACTACTAAGTGTTGGAGGTGAGGACAGCCATTCTGTGCATAGCCCAGATCAGGAAACAGAATGAGACTTCCAGTGATTTGCTTAAGGCCATATAGCTAGTAACTACAAAGAATAGGGATTTAAACCCTGAACTTTTACTCCAGAACTCTTCAACAGTTTTCACTAAAATATGCTGTTTTCATAAATATTAGAAACTCAAGCAATAATGTGTCTGCCCTTTGCAATTCCTTCTTCTTATATGTACATGAAAAAACAGAATCATATTTAAAACAAAATTATGTCAGATCCAATTGTGATAAAATTTTCTGCATGAACATGCAGTTCTCAAGTTGTAAGAGAAAGTTTTGTACTAAAAAAGTCAGTAAAGCAAAATAATTTTTCTAGGGCCTGTAGTGCAATATGGTGACATTAGACCAGCATTATTGTTTTTGAAGACAATAGGAAAATAGCTTATCAAATTATCTTTAGATAGTTCAGGAAGTAGAATTTTCTCATAAGTTGAGGTTACTTAAATTTCTAGTTCTTCACTGAATTTGTAGTTTAGTTTTTAAAATGAAATCTCCATTTTCATTTTATGAAAAATAGATTTATTTTAAAAACTTTTCCCCAGAGAACATATAAATTTGTTTTTAAAGAAGTAATATCTTTTATGCGTTTTAAAAATTGTTTACCTACATTCAGATCTGGATGCGATTCAGATTTCGTTTCTAATTTGAAAAAAATGACTTCTGTGACTATTGTTTCTGTTGCATTCTTCTTTCCAAATCTTGAGAACCCTTTACCTGTTGTAATTATAATCACCTGAATTTTACTTTACCTTTGGGTGCTCTATTTTTTAAACAAATTCTTATTTTACATACTTTAATCCAAATTGTTACACATACCAAGCTTGTTACTAGATGTATTGTCCCCAACTAAGATCCTACCCTTCTCCCCAAAAACCCATTCTGGATTAAGAAAATCCTCCTTTCAGACTTGCCATAGTATTAAAAAATGCATATAGTTGCCCTTTTTTGGTTTCATTGAGCTTTCATATTCTTAAAAGACAGATCTCAGAACCAAGGTGATAATTTTCTCTAATAGAAGTATATATTCTTAAAAGGCCTTTTTATGTAAAGTTGGTGGGTAAGACAAATGGAACAACCAGTTAAACTCATTCCTTCTGTACTTATTTTTAACTTCAAAGCTCCTAGTTTTAACCTCTGGTTCAGTCCCATCTTACTAGATTTAAGTGGCTTTTGTTTTGTTTTTTTTTTCATGCAGGTTCTGCTCATTAATCACCACGAGTGTGGATCTGAAGAAGAGTTTATTACCTCTCTTTTTTTGAGTATGTTTAACTTCAGATACACACAACGTAGCCTCTCCTTCCCTATTAGATTCTTAGAAGGTAGTTATATTTTTATAGTCTCCTTCTTGTGACTTTGATAGTTGTGATCAATAAGAATAAAAACTATTCCTTACATATTGGGCTACTGCATGCAAATCAGTTCATTTAAAACCTCCTGGAGGTCTTTGGCATGCCAGACATAAAACCATGAGTGTTTGTTTGTGGAGGTAACCATGTTCTAAAGAAATTTAAGAGTTTAATTCCTTTATCAAGAAACTGGGAGAGTTATCCTTTATGTTCTGGGAATCACTGACTTTAAGGGGCTTGCTTTTGGTCTGTGATTTTCAACATTAATTTAAAATGGGAATGATAAATTAGAAATACTCTTGTGGTATTAGATCTCTGAATGAGTAGTAGAGAGAAATTAGCTTGCGTTGTACCTATTGTATGCATAACAAAATAGCTAATTTATCATGTCTTATTTGTTAATGAGCATATATTTTTCTATGTTTGCAATTTTTAGACACATTGATGTATTTTTCTTCCTGTAGATGAATATGATGAATTTTTAAAATTCATTCTTTTTTTTTCCTGTCTAGGGCTGGAAAAAAGAAAGAATTCTGGCTGAATATCCTGATGGCAGAATAATAATGGTTCTTCCTGAAGACCCAAAGTATGCCCTGAAAAAGGTAAATTTCCAGTGAAATTTCATGTAGAATGGATAATACAATTTTCAGGTAATTTTAAGAGGATAACACATTGCTGGCATAGCGCATTTAAACACCAATTCTGAAAACAAGAAATAAGCATTTAAAGAATACAACCCAACTGAAAAATTATGCTTAAACTTTGTAGTGTGTCTAGCATATGTGAAGTCAATTTTTAGTGAATTAATTACTTTCTTGTATTATCAATAATTTGAGTGATGGTATAGAAGGCATTCTAGATAAGTTAATGAATAATACCACACAAGTGATTTCAAGAATCAGAATTAAAAATTTGAATCATGATAATTTTGAAAATTTATATTAATAAATGTAAAAGTTTCATTTTGAGATAGATTTCTAAATAAAAGCTTATTACAGAAGAGTATCTAGTAGTGGGTCATAGTAATCCTGAAACTATGCATGAGGTAATCATATAATGTTAAGAGAAAAAAGAAGATATATTCTGATTTATAAGTATAATGTAGAAAACTTAAAGAAAATCCTCTTATCTAGTGTGGGCCAAGTTTTAGCCCAACTTAGAGTTTCATACCCTGAGGGTTCAGAAAAATGTACCAGAGAAATAATGAAATCTGGAACCATTTTATTATATAGAGTATTTTTAAAGTCAAGAAACCTTAGGATAAACTTATTTTTAAACAATATGTTAATTACATTTTCAAATAATATCCTCAAAATGTTTTTCTTTGACCTCCAAATGCATTTTCAAATTTACCTCATAATGCATTTACTTCATAATGTAAAGCAATGAGTCTAGTTGTTTATCTGAAAAACTTAATTATACTAGAGTGTGTCCAAAATGTCTAGAAACATAAGGAAAGTAATTTATTTGTTGTACTTTTTTTAGATTAATAGTTAGACCTCTTTAAATTTAGAAACATTTCACCTGAACGGAAACACTTAGAACTTATTTAAAAATATAGCTCACATTCTACTTCAAGTATAAGTTTATCCTGTGGTTCCTGACTTTTCAGATACCTTATATATGACTGAACAATCCCAGATACCCAAACAAGCCCTCATCCTACCACTGCCTGACAGTGTAGACAGTAGCATTTAGAATGACATGTGAACATGCCACCTGTCTTGTGTTTGAAACATTGATCCTTGCACAGAAACAAATACTTGTTGAATTAGTGTTCAATTAATGAATGACTAAATGAAAATTAAATTACGGAATTCCAGACTTTGCTACATCACCATATATGGCATCCAGACTTTTCTTACTGAGACTCCTCAGTAAATGCTAAAATTTCCTGATTTCAGTTTCTCAGGGCAAAATCTTAGTAACCTACAATTAAGTGTGTTACTAGTTAGTAATCCGTAATAGGTTAAAAATTAAAATCTGGGGAATTCTGAGTCATTTTCTTTAGGAACTGAATCAGGAGTTGTATTATAGGATACTGTTCCAGGATTAGGAGGACTTGAGTTTTCATCACTGAATAAAGGATGTATTACACGGTATACTGCATGTCAGAGGTATGAGTACTTAACCCTTATAGGGGTTATTTGCATTTTAAATTTAGTAGCACAAGTTAATGTTTATTGGATCAGATATTTGCTGATTATTTTTAACTGGGGAAGGGACTGATGTTTGAGTGCCTACAAAAATCGTGACTTTGAGTGCCTATAAAGTTGGAGCTTATCATATTTGTCCATGACCACAGTTCTAGGAGGTAAACTAGAAGCAGCACAGTTTGATGCCATGTTAAGATTATGGGTTCAAATCCCTACTCTAGATATCCAGTATCTGGCATGGGAAAGGTACTTAACCTTTGAATTTTATTTCTTCCATATGTAAAGTGAATAACCATAGACCTTCAAGAGATGTTGGATTTAAATGAGATAATATTCTTAAAGTGCTTTATGTAGTGTCTGGCTTATACATGGTTGATAAGGAGTAAACATGTGTTTCTTTCCTTTGCCCACTTCCATTTTATTAATGAGAGTATTAATTAAGGCTTAGGAAGGAAAGTGGCTTGCCTGGCTAAGATTCCAGTGAAGTTCTTTCCAATTCTCAAACCCATGATGCTTTTAATGGGAAGCCTTTCATGTTCTTATTACCGATTATAGCAGCTCTCACTCTTGTTCCCTAGACTGATGGGCTTGGCATTACTCTTCAGTTCTTCCCTCATTTTGCAAATTGGCCCACAGGGCTTGAAAAACTGTTATTGAACAGCACAGTCATTCAGAAGGACTCTAGAGGATGTCCTCCTTGGAATAATAGACTCAATTTATTGAACTGAAATAGTATATTTTTACCTATATGCAATGCTTTCATTGTTAAAAAAACAGTATTGTTTTTTATTTGGCAGGTTGACGAGATTAGAGAGATGGTTGATAATGATTTAGGTTTCCAACAGGCTCCACTAATGTGCTATTCCAGAACTAAAACACTTCTCTTTATTTCTAATGACAAAAAAGTAGTTGGCTGCCTAATTGCGGAACATATCCAATGGGTAAGTGATTTTTAAAGGGTGTTCATATGTAGTTTGGTGTTTAAAGATTTTACTAGGTGTTCTTGAATCACATAATCCTGGTAATTTTATCAACATTTTGTGTAAGGAAGAGTAAGACTGCAAGAATTCCTGTGTATAACTCTTTACTACTTTGGAGTTGTAACATGCATAGGTAATAGTTTCTCAAATCAGTATGTAAGATAAAAATTCTATAAATCAAAAGTACTGTTAAATTTTGTTTAAGAAGTTTCTTTGTTGGATACTAATGCAACGTCTCAGTCCCTTCAGCCCTGGTATAAATCAAGGGTTGGCAAACTATAGTCTCAGGGCAAAATCCAGCCTGTTTTTGTAAATAAAGTTTTATTGTAACACAGCCATGCCCATTTGCCTACCTCTTGTCTGTGGCTGCTTTCACACTACAAAGACTGAGTAGAGTAGTTGCAGGAGAGGCCAGGAGGGCTGCAAAGCCTAAAATACTTAGTATTCTACCTCTTTATAAAAAGTTGCCCGCCCTTGGAATAGATCACCACTGTTTTGGTTGAGCTATAGATGAGGAGTTGGCTTGTATTTAGGAGCCAAATTGTACAAAAAAAGAAATAATAAAATCACAGTAAAAGGGATATGTTCACATTGTGAGAGTTACGTAGTAACAGACCAACTTGAGAGAACAGATTCTGGACTTTCTAATCATGCTCACCTTGAGGCATACCTCATTTGAATTCGATCTTTTTTCTGCTCAGGTCTTGCTGATGAATTCAGCGCACATTGGATTTGACTTCTGTTGAGTTGCTATCTTTTGGTATATTAATAGTGCCTGCAAATGTATGCTTCATCATTAACATTTTACAATAGTGTAAAAAGTCAAAACAAGTCTGCATGAGTTAGTTTCTGTATGTTAAGCTACATTTAAAGAAATTCAGCCTGAAATTGTGTAGTTTTATGAATCTTGCTATTTATAATAACATTAAATAAGTAGCTGATAAGGTAGTTTGGGGATATAAATTTGATATAAAATGACTTACTCATAGAAGTTTGCCATACTGAAATTGAGTTAATTTTACACAGTGCAAACCCTTACATTTTTGTTTTTTTTTGTTGTTTTCTTTGCAATGGATTTATTCTTTGCTTTATCATTTATCCATTTGACACATCTCTGAACCATGATTGTCCCACTTTTAAGAAATATTAACAGTGCTGCGCTTGATTTACCTTAATGCCAAAGTTCTTTCGTCGTGTATTGGATAATTGCAGTGTGTGTTTAAGGATTATTCTTAGCAACTTACCCCCCTCCCCCTTAATTTCACTCCCAACTAGCATGATTTATTACTCCTGAGGATGGCTGATAAATAGGATACCCACTTGAGGGAACTCTCACCTTTTATGTGGGACATACTTAAGATAAAATTGATGATGGAAACAAATGAAGTTAATAGGTGAGGGAAATTAAATAGATAAATATTTAAAGTCAGATTTGCAAAGAGGAGCAAAGATATTTTCAGATTTTATGATAGTGCCATCCTAAATCTGTTGAGCAGGTGACTTAAGCATTAAAAAAATTGCAGATATATCTTGTTTTTGACTCTTTCTTGTAGTCTTTCTTTTGTTTTTTTAATTGTTGTTTACAAAGAATGTTCTTTGGCAAACCTTTGTGTTTTTAAAATTTCTATTCTACCTAGTTCTGGAAATGAACTGTAGCAGTGTTTAGAAGATAGCTATAATGTTTGCTTGTTTATTTTTTGTTAACTCTCAATTGTATTGTCTGATTGTTTTAAGTTTTGTACCATGTCCTGTCAGAAGGCTGACTGTGTCCCTTTTTTGACAACTAGACTGGCAGAGGACATGTCTGTGTTTTAATGCATTTCATAGTTTTAAAGGGATGGGAGTGTGGGGAAAGGACCTTTCTAAATTCTTTATTCCTCTACCATCCTTAGTCGTAGTTCCCACACAGCTGTGAACCCTAGAGCTATGGCAGTAATCACAGAAACAATTGTTATGACTCCTAAGTTCTTAACATGTAATTTTGCTGGTCCTTAGAATATAGGGGGTAGAGAAAACTAACATTCAGTTCCTATTATGGGCCAGCCATGATGGCAGGGTGCTTTGTATGTATTACCTTATTTAATCTCTGAACAGTTCTCTGAAAGATGGTAGATATCTCTGATTTATAGGTAAGGAACACAAAGCTTAATTAAGGATCTTCCTGTCGTGGTCACATAACTAGTAAGTGAATTAGGAAGGAACATAGATCCAGGTCTGTTTCCTAAAAGGAGAGTGAAAGCATAGTGGTCTCCATCATTTGTTAAGAAGACAGGCAGATGTAGTGACCTCCTCACTAAGGTCACTACTAGATGATTGCTAATTAGTATTCTCACTTAAAAGTTTTTCCCTCCAACTTTGATACCTGTAGGGCTACAGAGTTATAGAAGAGAAACTTCCAGCTATCAGGTCAGAAGAAGAAAAAGTCAGATTTGAAAGGCAAAAAGCCTGGTGCTGCTCAACATTGCCAGAGCCTGCAATCTGTGGGATCAGTCGAATATGGGTTTTCAGCATGATGCGTCGGAAGAAAATTGCTTCTCGCATGATTGAATGCCTAAGGTAACTTGAACGTAATTCTTAAAATCATTTTCAGTGGTTTAGGATTTAAGCAGAGTTTTAGTATAAAGGTTAGCATTTAATTAATCTTAAATGTATAACCTTAAATTTAAAATTTACGTAAGATTGTCATTGTATTGGATCTGTAAGTACTTTTTATGTGAAGTTAATCTGATGGGGAAGAAAGCACTATTGGTTAAATATTATTAAGCCATTTTAAACTTACTTATTTGTAACTGTGATATTAGGTCAAAATAACCACTTCTTTCAAATTGTTTCATATTGGGGAGTTTTTGTTTGTTTGTTTGTTTTTTATTGAGTTAATGGTAGGTTACAGTCTTGTGAAATTTCAGTTGCACATTAATGTTTGTCATTCGTGTTGTAGGTGCACCACTTCACCCTTTGTGCCCAGCCCCCACCCCACCTTTCCCGTGGTAGCCACTAATCTGTTCTCTGTGTCCACATTTTTAAATTCCTCATATGAGTGGAGTCATACAGAGATTATCCTTCTCTAACTGGCTTATTTCACTTAACATAATTCCCTCAAGATCCTTCCGTGTTATTGCAAATGGAATAATTTTGTTCTGTTTTGCAGCTGAGTAGTAGTCCATTGTATATATATACCACATCTTCTTTATCCATTCATCTGTTGATGGGCACTTAGGTTGCTTCCATGTCTTGGCTATTGTAAATAATGCTGCAGTGAACATTGGGGTACATAGGACTTTTGGAATTGATTGCTGACTTCAGGCTCTTTGGTTAGATACTCAGTAGTGGAATGGCTGGATCATATGGTAGGTCTATTTTTAATTTTTTGAGGAATCTCCATACTGTTTTCCATAGTGGCTGCACCAGTTTGCATTCCCACCAGCAGTGTATGAGGGTTCCTTTTTCTCCACAACCTCTCCAACATTTATTACTATTAGTTTTAGATATTTTTGTCATTCTAATGGGTGTAAGGTGATATCTTAGTGTAGTTTTGATTTGCATTTCCCTGATGATCAGCGATGATGAGCATCTTTTCATGTGCTGATTGGCCATCATATATCTTCTTTGGAGAAATGTCTGTTCATGTCTCCAGCCCATTTTTTGATCGGGTTGTTTGATTTTTTGTTGTTGAGTCGTGAGAGTTCTTCATATATTATGGATATTAAGCCTTTGTCAGACATATGACTTGCAAATATTTTTTCTCAGTTAGTGGGTTGTTTTTTTGTTGCAGTCCTGTTTTCATTTGCCTTGAAGATGCTCTTTAGTCTGATGAAGTCCCATTTGTTTATTCTTTCTGTTGTTTCCCTTGTCTGAGAAGACATGGTGTCCGAAAAGATCCTTTTAATACTGATGTCAAAGAGTGTACTGCCTACCTTTTCTTCTAGAAGCCTCATGGTTTCAGGTCTCACCGTTAGGTCTTTCATTCATTTTGAGTTTATTTTGGTGAATGGTGAAAAAGAATGGTCAATTTTCATTCTTTGACATATGGCTTTCCAGTTTTCCCAGCACCATTTGTTGAAAAGGCTTTCTTTTCTCCATTGTGTGCTCTCAGCTCCTTTGTCGAAGATGAGCTGTCCATAGATGTGTGGTTTTATTTCTGGGCTTTCAATTCTGTTCCATTGATCTGTGCACCTGTTTTTGTACCAGTACCATGCTGTTTTGATTACTGTAGCTTTGTAGTATGTTTTGAAGTCATGGATTGTGATGCCTCCCGTTTTGTTCTTTTTTCTCAGGATTGCTTTAGCAATTCGGGGTCTTTTGTTGCCCCATATAAATTTTAGGATTCTTTGTTCTAATTCTGTAAAGAATATCATTGGGATTCTGATTGGGATAGCGTTGAATCTGTAGATTGCTTTAGGTAGAACGGACATTTTAACTATGTTTATTCTTCCAATCCATGTACATGGAATGTCTTTCCATCTCCTTATGTCGTCATCCAATTCTCTCAGAAAGGCCTTCTAATTTTCAATATATAGGTCCTTCACTTCCTTAGTTAAATTTACCCCAAGGTTTTTTATTTTTGTTGCGATTGTGAATGGTATTGTGTTCTTGAGTTCTTTTTCTGTTAGTTCGTTATTAGAATATAGAAATGCTACTGATTTATGCAAATTGATTTTATACCCTGCAACTTTGCTGTAGTTGTTGATTACTTCTAAGAGTTTTCCAATGGATTCTTTGGGGTTTTCTATATATAAGATCATGTCGTCTGCAAACAGCGAGAGTTTCACTTCTTCCCTCCCTATTTGGATTCCTTTTATTCCTTTTTCTTGCCTGATTGCTCTGGCCAGGACCTCCAGTACTATGTTAAATAAGAGTGGTAATAGAGGGCATCCTTGTCTCGTTCCTGTTTTCAGGCGCTCAGTTTTTGCCCATTGAGTATGATGTTGGCTATGGGTTTGTCATATATTGCCTTTATTATGTTGAGGTAGTTCCCTTCTATGCCCATTTTGTTCAGAGTTTTTGTCATAAATGGCTGTTGGATCTTGTCAAATGTCTTCTCTGCATCTATTGAGATGATCATGTGGTTTTTATTCCTCAGTTTGTTGATGTGGTGTATCACATTGATTGATTTGCAGCTGTTGAACCATCCCTGTGTCCCTGGTATGAATCCCACCTCATCATGATGTATGATCCCTTTGATGAATTGCTGAATTCTGGTTGCCAAAATTTTGTTTAGAATTTTTGCATCTATGTTCATCAGTGATATTGGCCTGTAGTTCTCTCTTTTCATGGTGTCCTTGTCAGGCTTTGGTATCAGCGTGATATTGGCCTCATAGAATGTGTTAGGAAGTGTTCCATCCTCCCTAATTTTTTGGAATAGCTTGAAAAGGATAGGTATTAAATCCTCTCTGAAAGTTTGGTGGAATTCCCCAGGGAAGCCATCTGTTCCTGGGGTTTTATTCTTTGGGATGTTTTTGATTGCTGTTTTTCAATCTCTTTCCTTGTGATTGGTCTGTTCAAATTGTCTGCCTCTTCTTGAGTGACCTTTGGGAGATTGTAGGAGTCCAAGAATTTATCCATTTCCTCTAGGTTATCCATTCTGTTGGCATATAGTTTTTCGTAGTATTCTCTTACAATCCGTTGTATTTCTGCAGAGTCTGTTGTTATTTCTCCTCTTTCGTTTCTGATTTTGTTAATTGGAGCTTTCTCCCTTTTTTTCTTTGTAAGTCTGACTAGGGGTTTGTCAATTTTATTTATCTTCTCAAAGAACCAGCTCTTTTTTTCATTGATCCTTTCTACCGCCTTTTTCGTTTCAATAGTATTTATTTCTGCTCTGATTTTTATTATTTCTCTCCTTCTGCTGACTTCAGGCTTTATTTGTTCTTCTTTCTCTAGTTCAGTTAGGTGTACTTTAAGATTGCTTATTTGGGATTTTTCTTGTTTGTTAAGATGTGCCTGTATTGTGATGAATTTTCCTCGTAATACAGCTTTTGTTGTATCCCATGTGAGTTGGTATGGCATGTTATCATTTTCATTTGTTTCCAGGTATTTTTTGATTTCTTCTTTAATTTCTTCAATGATCCATTGCTTGTTCAGTAGTGTATCGTTTAGTCTCCACATCTTTGTGCCTTTCTCAGCTTTTTTCTTGTAATTAATTTCTAGCCTTATAGCATTATGATCGGAGAAGATGCTTGTTATTATTTCAATTTTTTTAAATTTGTAGAGGCTTGCCTTGTTTCCCAACATATGGTCTATCCTTGAGAATGTTCTATGTGCACTTGAGAAGAATGTGTATTCTGCTTTTTTAGGATGACGTGATCTATATATGTCTATTAAGTCCAATTGTTTTAGTTTTTTGTTTAGCTCCACTATTTCCTTGTTGATTTTCTGTCCGGATGATCTGTCCATTGATGTGAGTCGGGTGTTGAGGTCCCCTACTATTATTATGTTATTTTTAACATCTTCCTTTATGTCTGTTAATAGTTGCTTTATGAACCTTGGTGATCCTATGTTGGGTGCGTAGATATTTATATGCATTATTTCTTCTTGATGAAGTATCCCTTTGATCATTATATATTGTCCCTCTGTGTGTCTCTTTACCTGTCTTATTTTGAAATCTGCTTTGTCTGATATAAGAATTGCAACACCTGCTTTCTTTTGCTTGCTATTAGCTTGAAGTATTGTCCTCCACTCCTTCACTCTGAGCCTGTGTTTGTCGTTGGGGCTGAGGTGTGTTTCCTGGAGGCAACAAATTGTTGGATCTTGTTCTTTAATCCATTTTACCACTCTGTGTCTTTTTATTGGAGAGTTCAATCCGTTTACATAGAGAGTGATTATTGATGGGTGTGGACTTAATGCTGTCAATCTGTTGCTCATTATCTGGTTTTCCTACGTTTCTCTTCCTGTGTGCTTTAGACTACCCATTTAATACTGCAATTTCTTATGCTGGGTTCCTTAGATTTTTCCTTATTTATGTTTTGTGGCTCTGTTCTGTTTTCTAGTTTAGTGGCTACCCTGAAGTTTGTATTTAGAATCTCGTGTACAACATAGTCTCTTCTCTGGTGGTCTCTTACTTACTTGGCCTAGACTGATTTAGACCCTTTGCTCTTCCCCTCCTAAATTATTATTTTCATTTCTTATTCCAACTCGTGTTATGAGTTTGTAGTTAGAGTGATAAGATCGTCTTTGCTTTGGTAGTTTCCTTACCTTTGTCCTAATGCTATAGTTGAATATTTGCTATCCTATTCTGGTTCTGTTTATCTGACTCCCTACTCTGTGGTTTGTGACCCCTTTCTCACTTTTTTTTGTTTTTTCAGGTATGAGAACCTTCTTGAGGATTTCTTGTAGTGGAGGACTTTTCGTTACAAATTCCCTTAACTTTTGTTTGTCTGGAAAAGATTTAATTTCTCCCTCATATCTGAAGGATATTCTTGCTGGATAGAGTATTCTTGGCTGAAGATTTTTATCTTTTAAGGTTTTGAACATGTCACTCCATTCTCTCCTAGCTTGTAAGGTTTCTGTGGAGAAATCTGCTGAAAGTCTGATAGGAATTCCTTTGTAGGTTATGTTCTTCT